CCTCATAAAAAGAGGACTGAGAAAACTCCCCCCATGTCATTTCCCCTTTCATTCCCTGGGACTGGTACAAGGACAGGACTTTTGCAGGACAGTAAATGTACTTCCCATTCACACCAGGGAACCCAGTGTGAACATGGGAACTGTTTGGGCCTTGTTTGAGAGGTCTGTGGCAGAACCTGCACAGACGCCCAGCAGGCTGCTCCTCCTTGGCCTTCCTTTTTCCCCGTTCCTCCATCACCCATCTTAAGTCGGCTGAGCGTTGCTTTGCAGCCTCCAGCTCTCGAGCGAAAAATGGTGTGTCCGCAAAGTCAGAAAATGACATTCGAGGGTCAGACAGGCCCTCTGCCACATAGGTCTGGTAAACTTTTTGTGAGCAGTAAAAATACTTTACCTCTGCAGACTGATAGAAGAAATGAACAGAGGAGCCGTCACCCTGAAAACGGGACTTTGGCTGGCCACATGCTAGACAGTTCCTAGTTCTCTTCTTCATGGGCTGCTGATCTTTCTGCTGCTGTTGCTGTTGCACAATCTCCTTCACCATTTGCTCAATTTGTGCTTTCGTTAGTGGAGCATCTTGGGGCTTAATGGTAGGGGGGTTCACAGTTGCAGGTGGAATAGTGACTACTGGAACACTAACAGTCTCACTACCTTCTGTTAGATGATGCCACAGCTGTTGCGTCTCTAGAAGCTTCTCTGGGCTGATGTTTAAAGATGATTTTGTGTTTTTCATCTTGGCTAGATGCTTCACGTAACGCGAAATATGGTGTTTGGTGGTCGGGTGCAAAAGGCTGTTTGGGTCTTTCTGGGAAGCCTGAACACAAACAGCATATTCAGCATCCACCTTAACGAGGCAGTCTTTCTGCCCATGGTGCTTTTGTAGAAGCTGGTCAATCTTATCCCTCATGGGCTGTGTCCACCGGGAGTGGTCCAGCACAAAGATCAGACCACCTGCTTTGATGGGACCTTTGCGGGCAGCTCGAGGAGAGGCAGCAGGAAGCAGAGGTGTTACTGGTGTCTGTAATGGAGGAAGAGACATTAAAGTTTAGATTCAGAAAGAAACTTTATTAGTCCTCAGTGGGCAATTCATTTCTGCAGCCATTAGAATCTGAAATTTAAAAATATCAGGATTTTCCTCACAAAGTTTTATTAAAGTGGTGACAAAATGTGATGAAAAATACCTTTTTGGGGCTTTGCTGGACCCCACCTTGTGAGCCTAATGTAGCCACAGCAGCAGTGCCCCCCTGAAACAAAAAAGCAAAGTAAAACTAAGAAATTAATTTTTTTGTTAGTCAATATTTGCATAAAAGATTTATTTAATTGCTTGTGGAATATTTGAAAATGAAAGAATCAATCTCACCTGAACGAAGAGCTCCTCCCTCACTTCTTCAAGTGGATCGATGAAAATCTCACATTCAGTTTTTGGTTCCTTGTAATGAAAAGCTTCATCCTCAGCTGGGGGTACTTTCTGGGACTTATTTTTGTCCCAGTTCAGGGGGACAGGGCGACAGCCTGGCTCCAGGTACTGCAGACCAAACCTTTCTCCTGTATCACTGTTGGAAATGTGTAAAGCTGGATATTTGGTTTGGCCTATAATTTCCTGAGCGAGTCTGTTCAGGTCTGACACCAGAACAGGGTCAAAAACTGCAGGGAGCTTCAAATCCGGCTGTTTCAGGTCCACAAGGCGCTGAAAATTCCACCGAGCAATTCCCATCATCCCCTGTGCCTGGAAGAGCTCAGTGGACACCTGCGTCCCAGTGACCCACCTGGCCTGGTGGAAATGAAAGCCCTCCTGCTGAGAAGTTCCCCTCACAGGGATCCACACAGGTACTGCCGCTTTCTCCCCCTTAACGTGGTTCAACTGTATGGTTCCTCCGTGTCTGTAGAGGACTCCTTCTCCAACCTCTGGGTCACTCAAACAGCCACGGAGGATGTGAACCCTTTGAATTCTCCACACTTTCAGCATGGAGGGTTTGAAAAGCGGCACCCCATCAGGATCACGTTCTGAGTAAAATCTCTGCAGAACGCTTTCCACTCTCTCCACCAACTCTGCAGGACCTGGGATCTTGTTGCGGCAGTGGTAGGGTTAGGGGACGGGTGGCAACCCTAATTATAGCGTCTGTTCTATTTAAAAGAAGTTTTAAAATAGGCCATTCATTGAAGGTGCGCCTTATAGTGCGGAAAATACGGTAATCACAAACCAGACACGGCGTGGATGTTCTGTACTGAACCAATACCCAGAACTTCACCACTGAACCTGGTTATTTTAAACCTATAGTGATGTTAGACGAGGCTCTTTGTTATGGTTTCTAATGGGCTGGTTCACAGAACAACTCAGTTTTTAAAGTAACTCTTTCAACATGGAAGGAAAAAACCTCTCACAAACTCTGGTCTTCACAGCTTTACTGAGAGTGTGTTGATTCGTGGATCTTCTTCAGGTCAAACATTTGAACAGCAATGAGGCATATCAATAGATCCATTATCATCTGAAACTGTTTGCTGTAAGAAAATGGCGTTTTGTGTTCTTGTTTTACTGGCTTGATTCAGATGATATAGTAATTTGTGCCACTGAGCTACTAACTTCATTATAATTACAGGCTGTGCAGAGTTGTGCATTGTGATCTGACAGTAAAAGAGCTGCTGGTGCTTCCTCGCTCCGCAGCAACATAATTACAGTGACAAGAAAACATTTGAGAGCCATTTTTGGCCTCTTAGTTGACAAAACATTTAAAAGGATTTCACTGAGACTAGTGCATCATTAAGCAGGGGATTTCAAATATGTGTAAGAAAGCTGAGCAATTAACTGGCTGGTTGGAAACTTTTAGATTATTTTCATTTGAAAAAAATTACACTTCTGATTGGTTATGAAATATTGTGTTAATGCAGTTCCTTGTTTCCACCTGTAGTGACTCGTTCTCTGTTGATTGTTTTTGTAATTAGACTTAAAGCAGTTATCTATTCAAACTGAGTCGGTTATTAAACAGTTTATTTCCTAAAGATTTCTCCACATCATGTCAGACATTCCTCTTTATCCATACTGTACACAACAGATATTTTGTTTGTGACCCAATATTGCTATAAAGTGACTTTTCCAATATTGTCATGGAAAAGTCACTTTATATTTTTAACTTGTTCACACACATCTGACTTCTGTCTTCAGCTGGGCCAGACTGACACTGTCTCTAATAGCATAATATTTGTATGAATTTGTGAAATAATTTTATAGAGTTAACATGATGAACACTAATGAAAGAAAACAAAATCCAAAAGCATAAACAGAAAATGTTAATTCAACATTTCAAGAGTTAAGTTTAATATTGTACCTGTCTATTTGATCTTTACTATAATTGGTGTTAATTTCTCTCTGTCTGAATATTCAACACTCCTTATGTTATGTACGTCATATTTAATGTGTATATTGTATATATTTATTTATAAGTATTATGATCATACCATCTTATTTTGTGTCCCTTACATTCTTAGATTCAAATCTAATAGTTATTGTGGATAATTCTTTTATATGTTATTAATCTATTATTAATTATCAAAGTTAATAACAGATTTCTCTTAGGAAGGAAATAAAATCAAAATTATATTATATTCTAAAATTAAGTATTTATTCTGATAAAAAGTTTACAGTATGCAGTGTGTGAAGCTTTTTTGAGAATTGGATAATTTGGTATCAGAGGCGCAAAAAGTGGGTATGCAGCGTATGCAACGCATAGGGGCGCAGCACCAGAGGGGGCGCCAAAACCCCGTCTGGAGGGGGCGACTCGCCGATTATGTTTTCCCATACACTTCAGCGCGCCTCACGCTCCTTCACCTCTCGCACATAACAAGGTAAATGTAGCGATTTTTACACTTCACGTATCGCTCCTTCATCCTGACGTTCCTTCCCGGGGGCGGGGGGGGGGGGGGGGGGTTTTTTTTTTTCCCCCCCCCCGAATTATTTTTGGTTGCATCTTTTTTTGG